AAGAGTAGTCTGAACTTTGCAAGGAGGTTGAAACCTCCTGTCCTGAGGAGCTGGCAGGGTATATCAATATATAAACACTCCCAAGGCGCTGGCTGATCACTGGAAAGCAAGGAGAGGCAGATGTTGCTGGCAAAGGGTGCTGGCATTATTTGGTTTCACAAGAGGTGTGATTAGAACAGGTACTTGAGGGAGGAGAGAGCAACGGCTTGGCATGCAAAAATGAGAGGCGAATCCAAGCAGAGGGTTTGGGGTGTTGTCGCAAAAAGCACACTTATCTCTGCATGTGAAGGAGACCAGCGTACAGGACCAGGCAATGGAAAATCTTTTTTTCTTTGAAACTTCAGTGGGGATAAAATAGTACCAGAAAGGTTAACACGTGGTTATAGTCATACAGCTATTATATAAGACTTGTAGCTTATTTCAAAAAGAGTCTAAACCACAAAAGTGTTTTATAATTTATACAGTGGAGGTAGGAAAGGCTCCATTTTTCAGTGTTACTGGTATACATCTTTTTTTGTCTGGAGCTTATTAGATAACAGTAAGTATAATGTTTTATCTGATTCTCCTAAACATGCAGTTAAAGTACATTAGTACCAGCATACTGGTTTGTGTTCATTATTAAATGTAAAAATTTAAGAAGCCTACATTAATGGAACATAAAATTTGAGATTTTTAGTTGCACAGAAGTCAGAGAATTCAAATGGATGGTTCCCATAGCAACCTATCTCTTCCTCTCTGTGTTTTTCATTTCACTAGAATCTTTCATTACTTGATTGCACCATACATTGTATAGTGCAATTTCATCATAAAATTTCATCATTATATAACTGTGCAAAAGAAGAAAGTGAAGGTTGTCTTCACTCAACATTTTCTAACTTTAATGTTTCTGTTGCACAGAAAGCAAATTGATGCTTAAAGGAATTGGGTCCATGATTTAAACGTGTTTTTGGAGGGTCTTCATAAATTCGAGCGGGTGCTTTGGAATGACTATAACCAATAAAGCAATTGAACAGAACAGCATGACATTCCCTTCTTTATAGTTGGTTATTGTCTGCTTTGCCACACAGATAACGTGACTCCAGGGAGCAGGAGGGACCAAAGCATTTTTTGTTTACTGGAAGATTTTTCCCATACAGATAGTGAAAAGAAAGTGATAGTGGAAAATGGAGGGCAGTTGAATTTCTGGCAAATCACAACTGGGGCAATGGGGTGTAAGTCATGACTAATAGGATTTTCAGTTAGAGAGGGTTTTGGTGGCTTCTGTCAACATGACAGACTTGGGAATTAGCAAAGCAGACCTACAGTTTAAATTTTTCCGTATTGGAAATTTTGATTCTGTGAAGGCTTAAATTTTTACAGGCGAAGAACTGATGAGATGGTACTTGTCATAATATCAATGAAAGTAGTAATTACCCTTGGTAATGATGAGGTCTTTGGTTCAGAGTACAACAAGTGGCACAGAGACAATTGGCTTGTAAGACTTTCTGAGACTTTATTGACCAAGTTGGTCTTTATGAATTGGTGGTTAATGTGAGCATTTCTAAGCCCAAATATCTGTGTACCCTCAAGCCCTAGAGTGCTATGGAGATCAGCTCCACAGCAGATGAACCTGTTCAGAAGAAAGGACATTCCCCTATGCAAATGTGAGGAAACTAAAAAGTGTGACAGAAGTAAGTTATGGAGCTTCCCACCTTGAATTTCTGTTCTCTAGTCTGCTGATTAAAGTAATGCTAAAAAGAGAAGATAATGCTATAGCAGCAGAGGATGGCCCAGGAAAACGAAAGGCATTTCCTTCTTATAAGCCTTCAAATTGTAGTAAATTTCATTGCCTTGATAAAATCGGACCTGGCTGATAGTACCATATTTTTTGCTTTTGTAGTGGTGATAAATTTTTCATGAAATACAAGTAAATAGTTGTTCATTTTTCAGCAGCCAATATGTCACTAAGTCAGCATTTCTCTGCAGAGATTTATAGAGCACGATTTAGGCTAAATTGCTGGCATATGAGATTTCAGCCAAAGGTTTTTTTCCTTTGACCATTTTTTTTTTTTAAATGCCTTGGTCGATTTAGGTTATTGGAGTCCAATGTAATTACTTGTTTAATTGCTTGGAAAAAGTAGAGCTTCCATAGTACAAAAATGACTTATTTTTCTTTAAAAATAACTGAAATCTGTCTTGAGGTTCTCTAGAACGCAATACACTACACAATTGGGTAATTTCATCCTCTTAAAAATCCCTGAATAGTCATTAAAGCTTTGGAAACCAGCTAATCTCCAGGAAGATGCTTTAGGTCTGGCTATTTTCCAGGGTTTGGAAGAGGCTCTGGCAGTTTAACATGGTAAGAAAAATGGCCTCTAAGTCCCTGCAACGCTGGGTCAAAGATTGTAGCCTGCTGAAACCCCCTTGCCCTTCTTAATGAGTCTGCTCTTCTCTAAAATCTTGTTGCAGAGAGCAAGTATCTCAGTTTCAACCTGCTCTCCTCAAGACAGGAGGACTGTTGTGTTGATGTATGTGTGCATCTGTGCAGTCTATTAGTCTTTTTGTTTTCTTATGACTCTTTGAATCTTTGTTCAGTGACAAGCAAATCTTGCACAAAGGTAGAGGTCTCGCAGGCAAGGAAATTTCATGAAAGTTTCATAAAAACAACAAGCTCTTATGTAGAAGAGAGATGCATAAATCACTCCCAGGACATGCCCCAGCTGAAGGTTGGCTTGCAGCAGGAGTGCTTGTGTGAATATGCAGCAGAGAATCCATAGAAGGACGGTTAGGGACCAGGAGAAGTCTTGAGAGATTCAGCTGCAGGAGAACCCTCACTGGACAGTGTACTTTACCCCCAAATACAATCCATAGGGATCCAGGAGTTCCTTCCAGTGCTCTTAAAGCTAGGAGATGTGCTTCTGGCTGCAGCATCTTGAGGGAATTTCTGTTGCCTAACCTTATCCTGACCCACTGGAGCAGAGCAGCGGCAGGAGAGGAGGTTGGGCTAGTGAGCGAGAGTAGATATGTCAGTCAGTGCACTTCAGTGCACGTGCCAAACCCTGGGTGGATGGGGTTTTGTTAACCTCTCCAGTAAGGCTGAAGTTCATTTTGGATAGGTTATCAGCATGATTTTATTAAATCTGTTTTTCTGGTGAAAATAGAGCTGGCTTATTACTAGTCAGGTGTGGCAGCAACTCTAGCTGGTTTGTTGCATCTGATTTCCAAGGTTATGGCAATAGTATATAAAAACATAAAAATATGAAATTTTTTGAATGATTCAGAAGGATTTATAATTTTCATCTGTGTGTCAGGAGTAGCTCATGGGATTCAATGTGACGTTTGTGTAGGTACAAAGTTTGAAAAGATGTATGCTGAGATTAAGTCAGTATTCTAAAACTGCCTAGTTTTGGCGCAGAGGTTCATGAGTACAAAAGGTTCAGGTCTCCTAGGACAGATTGCTGTCCCTTCTCTGGCTTGACGAAAATGGGAGGTTCATGGGGAGTAGCACTTGCAGGAATAAGAAGGCTCACTTTTGAAGTCTCAGGTAGAATACAGAAAGAAAAATACAAACTTACAGAAGCAAAGAATAAAATTGTAATACTTGAGGGATTTAACAGTGGTAACTTGGGCATTGCAATGACAATAGTATTTAAGAAATGCACTTTTTGAAATGGAACAAAAGCTCAAATAATACAACCATTCTGAGAAGCCAAAATGAAAGCAGCTAGTGCTGCACGGAGCATCCCACAGCAATCGCATGGTGCAAACGCAGCCCTTGGCAACAAAAGCAGCTCTGCAGTCTGTGTGGAATAACTGAGACCACTCACCAGGGTTAGGCTCAGAATTAGGTTAGGCCTGCAGACTGTGTGGCAAGGCTTGTAGGCAACCAAGGGGATTCTTTGAAGGCTTTTCATGTAGGAACTCCTAGAGCTAAATTTGAGGAAACATACTACCAATACTGACTCTGTGTGCTCTTGCTTATATTTAGACAATCCACCAAGAATTGTTTCTCAGATTTTTTTGCCTTAATGCTTTAAATGACTGTTCTTTGATAATGTGTCTGGGTGATCAGTTAAAACATAGTTGAGGCCAGGCAACCATTCTGGGTTCTTAGCTGCTGGCTTAATTGTGTGTGTGTGTGTGTATGTATGTATATATATATATAATTTCTATTATTTATCTTGATGATGATGCTCATGGTTCTGAGAGTTGCTTTGAGTTGATGAACCTGAAACTCATCTGTTTTGACTTTTCATAAAGCATCTGTTTTAGCAGTATGTTTCCCTGTACTATTAAACTTCAGTACCGCACATTTGTGGCACTGTAACTGGAGTCAATAAAAAGCGAACACCATGTCTAGAAAGCTCTTAATCGGTATTTCACAGCCACATTAGCTGAACTCTCCTCTCCCTTGTCCTATCAAGAGCCTATCCTTAGGAGTGGCAGGGCCCTGTTAGTGTCATCCCATATGTTAAATTCAAAGGAAGAAATCGGTTCAGATATTCCCCCTTCTTTCAAGAGCATGGATTCCTAAATCTGTTTGCGTGTGTGTTTTGTTGTTGGTGGTGGTTTTTGTTGTTGTTATTTCTTCCTCCTGTGCCTTCAGAGTAAAGGAAAACATTGTGATAATCCTCTTTAAACAGTGTGTGTCTCTTGCTCTTAATGTGCCATCATTTGAAAAGCATAAATATGTTGAACTAAACCACACTCTGGAAGCCTTAACCCTTTAATGCAATTGGGTATGGTGGGAGGGTCCTGTGCTAGCACGGGGGCATTGTGGGATGGCTAACTCTGTTCTTTATTGTCTGCTTCCAGTTTCCCAAGAAAGGTCTGAACGGTCCTCTTTTTGCTACTAGTAATTGGAGCGATGTAACAGCCATGTGGTGGTTCTGCAGTCAGTTCCTTTCCCTAAAGGACAATGTAAAACCTGCCACTGCTGGGCCGTTTGTGCTACTGTAACACTGCTGAGTCTTTCTTGCAGCTTGTGTCAAGGATTGAACTTTCTGAATTATGTATTTCAGACATTGAGAAAGAAAGGACTTAATGGCTGTGACAGTCCAGACCCTGATGCAGACGATTCAGTAGGTCACAGCCCTGAGTCTGAGGACAAGTACAGGAAAATTAATGAAGATATTGATCTAATGATCAGCAGGCAAAGATTATGTGTAAGTACTCTGAGCTCCCTTTCGTTCTTTTACGTTTTGATATTTCTCTGAACCTGGCAGGCATTGAACAAGAAAGAAAACAAAGGTTGTGAAAGCCCCGATCCTGACTCCTCTTACGCTCTTACCCCACGCACTGAAGAAAAATACAAAAAAATTAATGAAGAGTTTGATAATATGATCAAGAGCCATAAAATACCTGTAAGTACCAAAGGTTAGATGGCTGTCTGGTGATAACTGCTGCAGTAACAAGCCATAACCCTTTCAGTTCTGGCTTCTTAAGGAAAGCATTTCATCTGGAAAGAGGCTTTCATAGCCCAATATACAACTAGGTACTGTGGTCAGAAAACTTCACACAACATATTTTTCTTGCAAGACTCTGCCTCTGACACATAGACAAAGACCTCAATAGGTGAAACTTAGAGAAGGAAGTGAAATATACATTATATCCACTTGATTTACAGAACTGTTTTACCACACCACTTGCCCAAATTATATCTAAAAAATAATGATGGACATCTTTCTTTGTGGACAGGCTAATAAACCCACAGATTACTTTCTGTGGTGATATAGAAAAAAACATAGAACTGAAATTCCTTTATATATAGTAATTAGTGCATTCTGTATGTGTCACCAGTTCTTAAGTGTCTCTGCCAAACTCAGTTGCAGCACTGAAGGGTTACAGCTACTTGCTCACTGCAGAGAAACAGACTGCATGAGAGCCTAATGGTAGGGTTCCGACATGGTTTTGTGGTGGGGGGTGATTTTACAGCTTTATCAGAGAATTTGCTTTGACATCATCAGCATTTTTAATGCTTTAACATGAGCTAAATTTTGTTTTAACCAAGTCAAAATTTCTAACCATCAGTCATATGCCTTGCCAGATATCTAAGAGAAATAACTCTGCATGTGCTATTTCATTTGCAGAAGATATGGCGGGGGAATATTTTGTAATTATGATTAATATAAGATTTATAAACCTGACAAAAGTGTGGAAATTATGGTGATCTCTCCTTCTGCATGTGGAAGAAAGAGTAGCAAACCCAAAGACTCGCCCGGGTCCAAAGAAGCATATGAATTTGCCTATATAAATGCTTGCATCCAAAAGAGAGAGTGAAATCATCTGGATATGTTAATTTCATATTCCCACAAGTAGGTTGTGTGGTTGGCTACAAATCGGGGTGTCTGCATACCCAGGATGAGCAAAGTCTCTTCTGTAGTCCTGACCAATTGCACGTACAAAATCTGATACCTAAACTGAGGGTACTTCAGGATGCTCTCCTGCCATTCTCTCACAGTGTCCGTGTTCTTTATGTTAATTCTCAGAACAATTTTTACAAGGTAATGAAAATTAAGTCCTCACATCTATGGTTAATATGTTTGTGCAGAAACTTGAATAGGTATTTTCAGAGGCCAGAATAGCACCAGATTTGACAAATGAGCACGTGGAATGCCTCGTTGAGAATGCTCAACGTATAAACCATCAGGGAAGTATACATATATATTCCATCTTTCTTACCTCCCTTTCACTTGCTCCTTTTGTGTAGCTGCTTTTTCTGAACAAAAAAGTTCTGAAGCTGTCAGCATGAGTTTGTTTTTTTTTTCAGGATGGAACTCAGTTCAATAAAGTAACAGCTAGGACACCTAGGACAGCAGTTAGATGCTGAAATGCTTAACCCTTTGCTAAGTCAAAACTTAGCAATCAGCTTTCCTTTCCTCTTTCAAGGATGACCTTTGGCTTGTTCAAATCAAGGTGACAGAATCTTCAATCAGATAGGATTTTGCCTAGTTATTTTTTCACCCTCAAAAATCGGGTTTTAGTTGGTTCTTCAGAGCCTCTGTTGTATGTCATGCTGCTTGCTTCTGTTCCAAAAAAGCAGCACATGTTTATAACCATGTAGTCTTAAAGCAGGGAGGAAAAGAGGAAAAAAAAAAAAAAAAAAGACCTTATTCCTGGCTAATATTGAGTCTCTCACCTCCATTACCACTACAAGCATTCAGAAAAAAAATGCATTTTCCATAAAATGGTGAAAGATCTAGGAATTAGAAACAACACAGCTATTCAAAACATGATTCACTCTTTTTGTTCTCCCCCAAATTAATGAACTTTCTCTCTAATGGCTGTCATTAGAATTTAACCTTTTGACATCAAAAATGTCTCTTCTTGGTTCATCTCCACTGTTTCCTTGAGCTATTTTGGGTATAATGTAAATTTCTAGCTTGCAGGGATGTTAAAAAAAAAAAAAAATACAATTTATTATCTATTTATGAAATTGCATCAGAGATACGCTATGGACCTGTCAGTTTTAGTGATGCTTTTTACATAATAGAGGATATCCCTCCTTTGAATAGTTCACATGCTGAACTTGAGGTGTGTGCACACTGGCAAGCTGCTTACCACAAAAGGAAGAATCAGTAGGTGAACGTCCTTCATGCACCAGGAGCTCCTTCTCCTAGCGTAAGCCCAAGTATAATGGGCAAGATAGAGCTCAAAGCTAGTGCATAACAAGAAATTATAAATACACGCGATGATCTTTAGCTGTGCAAATTGGTATAGCTTTAGGGAGGTTTAGGAAGCTATATTTATTTTCTTGTGACTGTCAAAAAGTAGCCAAAAGAAGGAAGGAAGCAAAACCGAGCAAAAAGACGGCAAGTCACCCATTAAATCGCTACTTACAAAAATGTATAAAACAATGCAGTGCCTGGACTTGTAAGAGAGCAAAGTTGTTGCCAAATGAAAATAAAATTGGCTTTTCCTCTTAACAGATGAAGCCAATAATGTTTCCTCAGATAATTTTCTGGGGGGTAAGTATTTATAATGTTCTAGAACATCTGATAATAATTACACATTTATTTATAATTTTCTTAAGAGTGACGAAAGCAGAAGAGACAAATAGTCCACTAGAAGGGAGCTCTAAGTATTTCTGTCTGTAAATAGATGAAGGCCTGGCTGAATATGGGAGGAAAAAAAAAAAAAGTATTTGGCACAAAGCTTGGTGCCTTTGTTTTAAAGGGTTTTGAATCCCCAACATTTTGCTTCCCACAACATTCTACAACTTGTAGTGTTCGCATCTAACTTTAATGCTGTGGATATTCCCTTTAAATGGGCAATCTGTTGCCTTTGGTAGTTTTGCTAGTTGCGTCCCTGTTAAAGCTATGTCTAGAGTCGCAAATTACAGAATGACAAAGAAGACTGAGGCACTGAAAGGCCTTCATATCTGCGGTTAATAGCATGAGCAGGCCCTGGCATGCTTTTGGCATGGGCCAAATTGCATTTTCTTAAGCAACTCCTGAGTGCTGTTTGGTAGTTAGGCCAGGAACAATTCCTAGTAGTCAGTTTATATGTGGCTATGCTGGGTTTTTTTGTTTTTTTGTGTGTGTGTGTGTTAGAAAAGTTTAATAGTATGGACTGCCTTGTGGCCTCAAATGGCCTCAGTTTCTGGCCTTGTTTAACTTACTAATATAGATATCACACAAGTACATTGTAAACTTTAATGTTCATCAAGCCTAGTTGGACTAGAACTGCCCCATGACTTACCACCAAGAGTGGCTAGGGGATCTCTAGGAGGTTACAGTTCCTGGTAAAGAACATAAGACAGTAGCAGGAAATTTGGTCAGCCAGAAGCAAAACTGTAGACAGGCACTGTTACCACTAATTACCAACACTGGTAATTATTAAAACAACTTTCTCCTCTGGACCTTACTGCATACAAAAGTGTTAATCAAATCTTTGACTTCTGAGGAGAAGAAACCAAAACTACTGTATCAGAGAATCATATGTACTGCACTGAAAAGCAGAGAGTAAAAGTGATTTTATTTTGATCTCTGATAAAATTTCCTGTAAAATATTACATAAACTAGTCTTAAGTATAGGCTTGCCAGACTGCAGGCAAGAGGATGCAGAGGAAGCCATTAGACATGCAAAAAAAAGAAAAGAAAAAAAAAAAAAAAAAAAAAAACTTGTAGCTAGCTTTAAAAATATTGTATAGAATGACAAAAGAAACTGAAGTTGTATGTCCAGTGATGATCAGTCTCTACAAAGAGTGATAAGAGTAACTGAAACTGGGACTCTTCTGTGCTGTAGCATAGGATTAAGAAGATTCCAGCACTTGAAGAGTTGGAAAAAGGAAAGACAGATTAATAAAGGAAAGGCAGATTAATGGCAGAAGCAGATGAGCCTGAAGAGGAATTGGCCAGGCCTTCAGATTTGCATTTGTGCTGGGTCTTGGTTTTGATAGTTGGGTTGAAGTTGAGATTATGGAAACAGGAAATAGAAACAAGAGATCGGAGGGCATAGTGCTGGTGTCAGCTGTATACCAGACTCAGCTGACCGGGTTTCCTAGGCCTTATGACAGTTGTGCAAAACGATTGCTGGTGGGTGAAATTGAGCCTGACTTGGACTGAAAGCTCCTAAGCATTGCTTAAAGCCTGCAGAACCGGGGCTGGGATCATGTCCTTGGAGCAACCAGGCAGAGAGCTCTCCACTGCAGCACTGCATATTACAGTAATGCACTCCATGAGCTTATTCATGGCCCCAGGCAGGATGTGAAGCTAAGCTTAGACATTCATCATGTGAATCCTTTGGCTAAAGCTTTTTGAAAAGGCAGCAACCATCAACAGCAGCTGGCTCTGAGCTTCAGAACCAGCCTGTACGCTGAGGGCCAAAGTGCACCACCTTACGTAGAGTTTAGGAAACTCCGAAATACTTTTGTGGGCAGTGAAGAAAATGGCTTGCTTCAAAGCATGCTTACAGAGTGATAAATGTTTCAAATTACACTACATGTGCCTATTTCCAAAGACTTTAGCCTTCAGTCATGACATGCGTGCCTGCTCCTTCTGTGTGCATGGTAAATTCTTTGAAAGACAAGCCACATGTGCATCCAGAGAACTAGTCCTTAACTGTCAAAATGTTTGCTTGCAAAAGTGTTGTGCCTCTAAGAAGTAAAGAAGAGCTGGGACAGAAGCATACTTCAGTGTGGGAGTCATCGAAAGGAGCAGGGGCTTAAGGTTTAGGATCAGAAGCCATTTTATTGAGCATCAGACCAAACATATATTCTCCGAGTATGTGAGCATACACTGTCCACGTGCTGTCCACGCACTCCCTCCCCCTGCCTCCAGCCAATTCCTTGACTCTATTGCTATCTGGGTCCAATCCTGCTAACGGACAACAGGTAACCAACCAGAGACCGGTGTTTCCAGCCTGTGTTTTAGGTTTCTCTATCTGCTAATCTGTTATTCCTAACTTTCACAGTTTCTCACTCCTAACTTTCACCCTTCCCACAGCTTCCCACAGTTTCTCACGGTTTCTCAGTTTCCCACACTTCAGCAGTTATATTTGTCAATATATAGTCATTTGTTCTCTTTTATTCCTGATTTCTGAAGCACAAACCTTAGATGATGCTTCAGGATCTCAACATGGATGATAAGAATGCATGGAGTTTTGTTTCTTACTGAATATTTCCAGAATACCTCTCCTCCACCCAACCCTTCTTAAACTAGCTCTTCAAACAGAAATTAGCCAATTAGCATCTTGGCCAAAGGGACAAGAGCTCCAGAGACAGAGCTCTGCCCAAGAAGCTCTGTCAGCAGGTTGTAGATGTTTAAACTGAGGTCAGTTAGCTTGAGTGTCCTAGCTCATCTCGGCCATCGTGCTAGTGTGGAAATGCACATTTTTCTCAGAAAACCAAGTCACAGAGTGAGTTATAGACCTAAATTAACACCTTGAAAGAAGTCCTGAGGCATTCACGTAGCCTACTCTTTACAGGGTGTGCTGAATCTTGCTGTGCCTTATTATTTGTTTGCTATGTTTCAGTGGTTAAGCAAAAAGATTCCTGTATATTTAGAGCTGAATTGTGTCTGCCCCTGGAAAGCGGGGTAGGACAAAGAAAACTTCAGGGATAACCATAATTTGATGTTCCATGCTGTAATATGTACGACACAGCCAACAGATGTGACTAGCCAGAGAAGATGCATGTGGGTGGCACAAGGTCAGGCTGTCTCTGCTGCCTGGCACAGCAGATCATGTGTCCAGTTCTCAGCACACTCCCTCTGGCTCCTGGGAGACCTATCATACAATCATCTGTTACCAATAAAATTGAAATCTGTGAGTTCCTCCTTCTGAAGATGTCACCACAAGGCTGATTTCAAAGTTTTTTTTTTTTTTTTAATTCTTTAAGTGCTTAAAAGTTTTTAAGTACTAAATTAAAGGGTATCAGAAGTAGAGGTAATGGCCACAAACTGAAGCACCAAAAGTTCCGCATGAACTTAAGGATTTTTTTTTTTTTTTTAACAGTGAGGGTGACAGAGCACTGGAACAGGCTGCCCAGAGAGGTTGTGGAGTCTCCTTCTCTGGAGATCTTCCACCCAGAGAGGTTGTGGAGTCTCCTTCTCTGGAGATCTTCCAAACCCGCTTGGATGCAGTCCTGTGCCACGTGCTCTAGGTGACCCTGCGTGTGCAGGGGGGTTGGACTAGATGACCTCTAGAGGTCCCTTCCAACCTTAAGCATTCTATGATTCTATTTGGTTTGCATTTGTATTTTTGAACACTTCAACTACTGTCAGGTAACTGAAAAGGTTTTCTATCCATTCACAAGAGCAGGAAGCTAATTATTAAAAATGCAAGCAAATTAAATATGAAATTCTCATGTATTTGAATGATGCAAGAACTATGGATTTTAATGAAATTCAGACAAGCCTTACCCCCAAAGACCTCATCCAACAGGCTTGAGTTGGGAACATTGTATTGTGGTTTCCATAATCAGGGACTGCATCTCCTCACACTCCCTGTCAGACCTAGAGTCAAGTGGTATAATTTGGTCCAGCTTGCAAAACTGCTTATTGAAAGGGCTTCTCACAAAGGAAAGGCTCTATTAGATGCTACTTTTGATTGATGATAACAGTATCTTGAAAAGGCATTAAAAACAGCCCCCTTCCAAAACCAAGAACCAACAGAGAGTTATATATGGAAAGTTCTTATATTTGCTATGTGTCCGTGAGTAGAACTAACTTTCTTTTAAGCCCTTCCCAAACTAAGCTAGAAACTTTAAAAAGCCATTTACTGTGTTGATGCCTTTAACATGATTTGGGATCATTCTGGCTGCTAAAGCAACGTATGCTGAAATTAAAGCTTTCCTTTTGCATTTCACCTCTTCTAATTTTTCTCCTTGCAATGAAGTCGTCATAATCATGCACCTTTGATCTTGCAGTCATCTGTGACACTAGTTTAAGATAACACAAGTGAACAATCATGACTTCACTGAATGAAAGAAACAGAAAATTAAGCTTCACGAAGCAAGATTTTGTTTTAAACAAAAAGAAAAAAAAAAGGGAAGAAAATCTTTCTATTTCTTATGAAATAAATGTGCAAACTGCAGTGAAGGAAGATAGAATCACAATTTCAAAAATGGTTTTTAAAAGCTTGGTTAATTCTGTTTAAAACTCTTCTCTTGGCTCTTAGTGGAGGGGGAGCTTAAATATTTTAACTACCAACTACAACATATTTGAAGTAAATATAGAGTAACTGTACTTGTAGACCGTTATGCTTCTGTAATATTCTTGTCTTTGTTTCCCTTTTTTGCCTGTGCAGGCTGTTCCACCACCAAACTTTGAGATGCCAATTTCTATCCCAGTGTCCAACCACAACAGTTTGGTGTACAGTAACCCAGTCAGCTCACTGGGAAACCCCAACCTTTTGCCACTGACCCATCCTTCTTTGCAAAGAAATAACATGTCTCCTGGCATGATGCATCGGCCTCCGAGTGCAGGTAACACAGGTATGCGCTGCTCACTCTCAGCCTTTTAAATGGTCTTTTTTATCATTTGCTTGTGTGCGTTAGTAACTTTAAACTCTGAGGGGAAAAAGAGCTCTGTTTTTACTAATCACAACAGTTTATCCAAAATTGCTGTGTTGAAAAATCAAAAGAAGAGCCAAAGAGGTTTCTATTCCCAATTTAGAAAATAAAAAAACAATGTACTATAAAAAGCCAAGTATTGACTAAGATTAAAGGAAATCAATAAAGGATAAAAGGGCAGATGATTTTCTGTTTCATAAAAAGGCAGCTTGTCTGCTTAATACATGCAAGAACTTACTGCACTGCAAAACCTAAGTGGGGAGGAGAGAATATGTGTCCAAGACAATTTAAAGTAAGTAAAATAGACCACTAGTTACTTTAAACAGCAATCTAGAGGCTAAATGCAGAATTTGTTGTTATTTCGAGGAATTATTATTGTTGCATTCACAAGTTCCTTGATGGTTCACATTAGCTGAGCTCTGTACTTGGGAGTCTGGTATAGCAAGAGGTTATGTCCCATGCTGCTCCTGATGAGGGGTCACCTCTGAACAGGGTAAATGGGAATTAGGTTCATTCAATCTGTCTGCCTGAAGCAACATCAACATCCTTAAGTATACAGCGTTCAAAGAACCATCTGAGGTCTGCAAGCACAGAGATGTTAAAAATACTTGGAATTAATGTCTATGAAAGGCTGAGAAAATTAAAATGAAAAGTTATGCAAATATGTGTTACAGTTAGGTTCTCATCCTCTCAGTCCCATGTGGAGGACTTCTGTTTCTGGATAATACTGAAACAATTACAGTTTACAGATGCAGGTGGTGTGCAAAACACAATTTTAATATATATTTTATAGTTTATGTGCTGTGGAAGTATGAAAATGAAATAATAAAAAATTGGGGACCTCATTTTTTGTTTGTCCTTGAAAGGCAAATACCTTGTATGTGTAACATTAAACGTTACAATTTTTATGACTTAATCTGATGCCTGTAGGAGTCAGAAGGAAGACAATAGTAGCACTTGGATGAGGCCATTTGAAAGCTGGGGAACTGTTGGCACTGTTTGGAGTGTTTGCCTATTGTGCTTTAATGTGCTCACTTGCAGTATTTCATTTCAACCCCTTAGGTGGCCTGATGGGTGGGGACCTCACAACCGGTGCAGGCACCAGTGCAGGTAAAGAGCAGCGACTTTCTGTTTAGCGTTTGCGGTGAAGAGCAGCCTTCCACCAGACGCCGAGGCCTAAAATAACTCTGTGTTGGGGTCAGGCTATTGAAAGACCTCAGTATTGGACGGGGTCTATGGTTCCCCCAGCTGGCAGGAGGGAAAGGGCTGTTACCTGTGCTTTGCATGAGGTAGGAAGAGACTGGGTTTTGGCACTGTTGCAAATCTTGTGCTTCACCCAATTCCGTGTATATAAATGCCTGGTTTCCTTCACATTAGCTTATCCGTAAAAACTTTTGGTTCCTTTATGTAGCCCTTTTCAAACAAAACTCTACTGAGGTCAGTGGCTGAAGTCAAAGGGAGTTTTTTCATTGACTTTAGTGAAATCAGGGGTTTATTTTATGAATTCAAGCTTCAGTAAAGACTGAAATATTGAGTTCCCCATTAAACTTTCAGTTACGGAACACAGATTTCATTTCAGGCTTAAGACCACTGATAGTCATTGAAATCTGATAGCGTTTACTTAAATAATTAGTAATTAACTTAAGCTTAGTCTTAATCATTTACTTAAGTGCTTTGGGACCCAGTGGAGAAGGATTTTCAAACTACCCAGGCAGAGCAAAAGTTTGGCCCCTTTAGGCTTATTCCCTTAGAGCTAATGAGAACTGTACTTGCTAAGGCCTGTGTTACGGAAGCAGCGTTACCGAATTGGTCCCCTTTGCTCAGTAAACTCAGTGGTTTGTTAGCAATGTCAGCAATATTACATTATAACAAATACGGATTACAAAAGACAATGGCAAGATTACTGTTTCAACTTGAGAAGTAAACACGTATGTTGGAAGAAAATTAGTGAAACGCGGAGCACACCCAGTTTTACTGGATTAACTGCTCTCGGGAAGAACTGTGCAAAAACTAGTTGAAAGATCCATTTTATGCATGATAAACCAGGGTTGAGACATATGCTGATTTTGACACTGTAACATGAAATGTCTTATAAAGAAATCCTGGCTATAATGATCTTTTCTTTCTTGGCTCTTTTCAGCCTCCTTTAGCCCCCCCCTCCCCTTTTATCTTCACACGTAGATGAGTCACAGATGTTTGTGAGCTGCATCTGTAGCAAAATTGAGGCTGCACGGCATTGTATCAAAAAGGCACTGTAACCTTGTGCTGAAGCTCCGAGAAGTTGTTGTATATTAATTTAGGGGTAGGGTAAGCAGACTGCAGGAACGTAGCTGTTAGTCTCCTTTGTTCTGGAAAAAAAAAGATAGAAAATTGGTTTTATTAATCATCTTTTGCTAGTCCCTGCAATACAGGTAAAGAAAGATTAATTCTGGTGATGTTTGCATTTCATCTTTTTTTAATTGCATATATAGTAGAAACTTCAAGTATAGCAATGGAGGGGCTCCCTCTACTGCCTTGCTAGGAAATAGCACTGTCGTGTTCCTGTTTTCCTCATTCTTTAAAGAGGGCGCTGAAAAGCAATTAGTAAAGAAGACAATGTTTGCTCCTAGAAGGGGCACATGCTAAAATAAAAGCTCTTCTGCGCATGCATTTGGCTTAACAATTCCTTGTGTCTAATAAAAATATATATCAATATGCTAGGTTATAAGTTAAAAAATATATTTTAAAAGAATTTTCTTGAGACTATATTAAAGCACTTATAAGCATATGATAAGAGGGATAGCTTGATAACTTGCTTGCAAATAAAGAATTTGTATTTCTTGTGTACAATATTATGCATTAAGTGATGTAACTTTGGAGTAGGCAATTGATTTGAGGGGCATGCATATACGGGGCATTGCTAGGAATAAATATTTAATTGTATGAATAGTCTTTGTTCTTTATCTGGCAATAAGAGCTTTAAACACCATTAATGATGTGTTTTCTAAATGTCTTAAATGCAGAAGAGTAGCAAGAATTTGATAGAGGGCTGAAGGAAGATGAAAGGTCAATATAAGGTTGAATCTTCTGTCTTAGTTGCGTCATTCCACAATGCCATTATTTTGGACAGTCCTTGCTCTCTCTTCAGGGTGCAGATGAATAAACATCAAAAGTTTTCTTTGTTCATCATTCTACATAAGAAACAGAAACCTCTGTGTGTTTTTTTTTTTTTCTAACTGGCAACTTAGAAGCTGGTAGCATGATCATGTGGTTTAATCTGTTGGGGTTCATATTTCTTGCCAAATTAGAACATTATGAATTTGCACTTTTCTGCAGCATTCAAAAATAGCATATATTCAAAATAACATACTCCAAAGAAGAAGAATCTAAAGAGTTTTGTTTCTGTCACAACAAAATGAAACTACTTTTGATTGCTGACACCAGGCCTCAGTTTCTGCATTTCTTTAACAAATTACCTTATAACTTCAATATAGGAAATGGAAAAAGATACTTAAGTTTGTTAAGCCTCTGTTTTGAAAACTATGTTATTTTGTTAGTTTGGATTATTCTCGGTAATAACCCTGACATCTTCTGCAATTTACCTTAGGAGTCAACCTGAGGCATAAAAAGAACTTAAGAAAGCTGACTATTATCGTACACAGCTAAATACCAGCAGTGGTATTTTTAACTTAAACCAAGGTTATCTCAGGTTTGTTAAAGTAAATTTCTTCTTAGATACTGATTGGACAGTTTATAACATGCGATAATAGCAAAGTCCAACAAGACTGGAGTGAACTTACCATTTAGTGTAGTTGCTAAATTATAAATACAGCAACGTCTTTGGCACCATTCTTTCAAACCAAAGATTTTTAATTAGAGACAAGAAACATTTGGTCTCAAATCGGTACAGTCTAAAACCACTTAGAGTCACTCATTTCAGCTTGCCTCATAACTAACATGAAAATTAAGTGACCTATAACCAATTAACATAAGAAAGTGTGTGAAGTTGTCTTAATTTTTAAGGTGCCTATTTATTCTTAAACAAAATCAGTTAAGTCAGTGCTAACCTGATCAGAAACAAATAATGTTTATGAAATGGAAGTTTTATTTGCGTAAATTGATTGTTTTATACAGTGGTTCAATACTTATGTTGAAAGCCTGATGAAAGATTAAGACTTCAAAAATATATCAATAGTTTAAAAATCAAAATACAGTTGTTTTGGGGAAGTCTTTAATAGACTTTGAAAACCACCAGCTGAGTTATAACCTTCATTTTGTTTCCCTATGGTTTTCAAATTATGACCTTTTGTATTTTCTAATTAAGTTTTATTTTGAATTGAATAAACCCATCTAGATCAACAGAATTTCATGAAATTTTCACTATTATAAATTATAAAATAGAAAATTTCATTCTTAAGTTTAAATCTAGGAAGGGTATGTTAAAAATACAACTTTTGCTTTAATTGTTTTTTTTCTGTAATTTATCTGGGACTGATTTCTGCACTGCCTCCATCTTGACATTAGTATTAAACTAAATGAGCAAGTTATTCAAAACTTCGGGCTCTAAAAATGCTGTCAAAGGAGCAAAGTGTGTGTTCTCTGTAAATCAAGCATCCTTAAAGCTGCTCTCTAAAATTATTAGATATTGAAAAGATCAGGAGTTCCTTTTGAAAAATTCATCCTATTTTTTTTTAATAGCTGAATCCCATATTTACCTCTGAATCAGCAGCTAGTCATTTCCTTTTGGAAGTAAAGCACAACTTAGCAGTGGTCTTCTCAAAGTTCAGGTTCTGGATCTCTCAGCCAATATTGCAATTTGCCAGCACCTTACTGCTGTTTTTTCTTTTCTTGGTTATGTGCTGGCTGTGGGTGAAGGTGTTACATATTCTTTTTGTATTTCAAGCCAACAGATATATGTGTAATAGTCATTTTTTAATGTATAAGGTAGAGGCATTCCAGGTGGTATCTTCTCAAAACACAATGATTTACTAAAAGGAAGCAATCTGCCCAAAAAAAGCCTGAGCAGGAACAAAAGTAAGCAAGGATCTGAAAGGCACCTAGCTCTATTAGCTCCTTTTGCAACTCCAAATATAAACAAACTAATACTAAATAACAGAAACGTAAAAGATTACATACTCTCTGTTGTACCCTACAATCATGCTTGGCAAGTCAAGAGAAGTTAGTTCTGAGGCAGGAAGTGTGGAATATGTTAAATAAACATGCCTAGAATAATGATTCCTAAAACACCGTTTATGGGCAACCTGTTAAGACTGGGCTCCCAGGGAGAGCATAACAAGCCTTGGCCTTCCCTCAGTATTTGATCAGTGCAGTTGTCCACAGACCTCTGACCTAAAGATTGGGCAAGATGCTCTAGAGAAGTGCAGTAAACAACAGTTTCTGCCCAAGGAAGCTTATCAGTCCAAAAGCAAGAACATAAAGTCATTCATAACAGAGTTGGTGATGCAAAAGGGCCAAACCTAAACAATAAGAAATCACAGAACATGAAGCTGGCTGAAAAAACAAGAAGGGACATGAGGAATGAGCAACACAATAGCACTCAGATTTGTTTTCTTTTCCCTTTTTCTGCAGGCTTTATGCCATTAAGTGCTGCTTTTCCAAGCTTTCCTCTGTAAAAGGAGGATATGTACTTTTTTTTTCCAGTCCTGTAGCAATCCAGGAGTTAGTGTTTTAAGGAAAGTATCTACCAGTGGGAGATTTGTGATAACGCAATAACAACACTAGAACTTGTTTGACAGCTCTAATATATAGTATGAAGGAGATTGTCTATCTAACAGTACTTGAAATTCATGTCTGTCGGCAGCCAACACAGGCCTTTCCAAAATTAAGTCCTGTTTCTGCCCAAGACAAGCGATCTCTTGCAGGAAGCTAACTCAGAATCTTTTCATGCAGGTAAATATCGCATCAGCAGATCTTTAAGAATAGATTTGAAAGGGTGGAGGCTGCTGTCCATGCAAAAGTCAAAAAATACCACATTGACTTTGTGCACCGTTCAGAAAGCTTGGGTATATATATTTTCAGTTGACTGATGTGGCCTCTGACCAGTAACGAGATCCCTATAAGCTCAGTGTGGGTAGACCGCTGTGAGAATCTGTGGAAATTTGACCTTTATT